GGTGTACTACAGGAATAGCGTCTAGTTTATCAACATACCTGTGACAGTTTGGTGGTGTACGATAGCAATAGCGTCTAGTTTATTAATATATCTATAACAGTTTGGTGGTGTACTACAGGAATAGCGTCTAGTTTATCAACATACCTGTGACAGTTTGGTGGTGTACGATAGGAATAGCGTCTAGTTTATTAATATATCTATAACAGTTTGGTGGTGTACTATAGGAATAACGTCTAGTTTATCAACATACCTGTGACAGTTTGGTGGTGTACTACAGGAATAGCGTCTAGTTTATCAACATACCTGTGACAGTTTGGTGGTGTACGATAGGAATAGCGTCTAGTTTATTAATATATCTAGAACAGTTTGGAGATGTACTATAGGAATAGCTCTCAACGTTATAAACATGTCTGTGACAGTCTGACGGTATATGATAGTAGTAGCTGTCAGGTTTTTCACACATAACTAGGACAGCCTGGTGGTTTATGATTAAAGCTTATCATTTATCTCAGAAAGTTCGGTGGCGCATAATAGGCCCTGAAGTTTATGAAATTTTCTAGTATCTAGTAACATAATGACTTCTAATATTAATGTTATTTTAAAGAGGCAATCCGACTAACTCAAATCTGAATTATATTACATTCTATTTGGCCAGATATATTACATGAAGTTTGTTGTCTGTCTGTTTATTTGCTTGTTTTAGTGCAAAGCCACATTGAGCTACGTGCTGTGTACACCGGCGGGAATCAAACTCCGGATTTTAGCGCTGTAAGTCCGTAGATTTACTGCTCTTCTACCGGAGGACCACGAAGCTACACAATGGTCTATTTGAGCTCTGCCCTCAACGAATATCGAAATCCGTTTGGTTTTTTTTTGCGTTATTAACCTCAAACTTACCACTGAGCCACTAGGGGGGGGTGAGCTTTGTTGTATATAATGGAGTAAGCCACCAAAGTGTCTCGGTTATTATCCGTAATTTCAAAGAATTGGAGAGAATTAAATTTTGCAATATGCAACAATACGATGTTATTTCTAGTAAACAGCAAACCGCCATTATTTATAAAAGTGTGACTATAGATGTCTGTTTCAGGGCACGTTTGTTGTGAAAGCAGAATAGTAGTGATACATATTGTTTATGTTTGGACTAAATAATTAACATCCACGAGAGTGGTTTTAATTTAATGCTCGTTCTACGCAGCTATTGAATAGTGTGACTACAGTATTTACTAGTAAAATTAAAGATTGGGAATTTATCTGACAAGTTGAAAATATCTATGAAATCACTATTAAGTATCTTATTGTTTTAGGCCTTCAGTGCTTTTGCAGTATTTTTAATAATCCAATAGAAAGAGCCCCCAAGTGGAATAGCGATATGTCTGCGGACTTATACTGCTAGAAACAGGGTTTGTGCTTTACAACAGCAACAACAATGCAACAGAGAAAATGTTTTTTTTTTCCGGATTCAATGTAATGTGGAAAATTATTAAATAAAAACTCAAGTCTCTCTTTTTCTAATACTACTTTTCACCCTGCATAAAGCATTTTACATTTGTGATAACTTTATGTTACCCATGTGTTTAGACGTAAAAGACGCCCAAAACTAATACTGACAGTCGAAAGAGATTATAATTAATTTGGCCAGTAGTTGTTTTCTTTTTGCTTTCTTTGATCCGTGGTAAGTATCTCAAACTTTTATTCTTGGCACGCTAGAATGCCCAAGTTTTGGTTAAATGAAATATACATACAATACTGTAATAATCTAAATAACTATTTCATGTTATAGTAATTTAAGTAATAAAAACGATGATTAGCTATACACCAGTTGCCACCAGTGGACCATCTTTGAGTTTCAGTGCTTATATTACTAAAATTAGAGTTTCGATACCAACGATGGCAAAATACGTATAATCCATAGTGTAAATTTGTGTAACACCACAGTGTAACACAAGTTAAAATCAAATATATCTGTTAATAAACGAGCAAACGAAGGATATTTGTTAATGGATGATTTTTTATATGTAATATACAAAACACGTCATAAAATCAAAACTCCAATTTTCCACAATTTAGTCACAGCCTAGTAATATCAAATGAATGAACAATTCCTATAATGAGTAGCATTAATTTTCACTTGCAGAAATAACCATTAAAGGACACGTTCTCTTAACGTTTAGTTAACAAGTACGTATTTTATTTTCCCTGTGTTATTAGGAGGTAGTGGTAAAGACTATTTTAATGTTGACGGCAAGGACATTATCCTGGAATCATCTATTGAACCTGGGAAAGTTCTCGAACTTCTGCTCAAAGGCATATATAACTCCGAGGAAGAAAAGATTACAGATACAACCAAAATTGAATTTTCGGTCCAAGATGAATTGTTTAGTAAAAAACTCATTGTGAAAGTAATTGATAGTGGATTTAAACCTGATAGACCAATTGTATCTATAGATGTGGAGCAAGAAGATGGTGTTATTGTAACAGGTAATATTTCAATATTTTAAAGTACACTTACATAATAGAACAGATGTGTGACACCCATGACAAACATTTTCCATTATTCTACACCTATACTACGATAAAATAATATTCTATTTAGTAGCTTACCTTTACTTGGAATGTCAGTATATAAATCAGATATTATAATTACAGTATTCCACTTACTGGCTCTGGAATGGCCTGCTGTTTAAGGCGTTCGGCTCACAATTTGCGGGCCGCGAATTCGAATAAACTTCACCGAACATGTTCGCCCTTTCAACCATGGGGAAGTTATAATGTGATGGGTCAATCTCACTATTCGATAATAAAAGAGTAGCCCAAAAGTAGGTGGTGGATGGTGTTGACTTGCTGCCTTCCTTTAGTCTATCACTGCTAAATTAGGAACGGCTAGCGCAGATAGCCCTCGTGTAGCTTTGCGCGAAATTCTAAATAAACCAAACAAATCCACTTATGTTTTTAGCATCTTGACTTACTATGTTCTGGTTGAATTCCTTTTAGGCTTGATGTGTTATGGGTTTATTCTTATCAGACTAGTATTATGTTCAACAACATGATTTTGTATGTTCCGGTAGTAATAAAAAAATTGTAATAAATTCCATAAGCTTTCTTTAGCGCTAAAGAAGACTTCTATGATTAACTCCATGTACTCCACAATGTAATGCTGTTTAATTAGGCTTCTAGAATGAACTCCACACACAGTAATACTGCTACATGCTAAATTACACTCCTAGAAGAAGCTCTACACGAAATAATACTGCTAAAGAAGACTTCTATGATTAACTCCATGTACTCCACAATGTAATGCTGTTTAATTAGGCTTCTAGAATGAACTCCACACACAGTAATACTGCTACATGCTAAATTACACTCCTAGAAGAAGCTCTACACGAAATAATACTTGCTAAAGAATGCTTCTAGAATGACCTCCATATGCAATAATACTGCTAAAATAGGCTTCTTGGATGACCTCCATATGCAATAATACTGCTAAAGTAGGCTTTTAGAATGACCTCCATATGCAATAATACTACTAAAGCAGGCAACTAGAATGACCTTCGTATGGAATGATACTGCTAAAAAGGCTTCTAGAATGACCTCTACGTGAATAATACCCTTACACAATGCAAAACCAATGCTCTTGACGGGCGGGACTTTATTTTAGGAGGTTACTACAAAGCTACGATAAGTACTATTTTAGCAGGACTCAACATTAAGATAATCTTGGCCCATAATATCAAACTGAATACTTGGTAGGCTTCCATTGTAGGAAGGCTACTGCTTTGTCATATAAAGTGAATATTTCAATAGGACTCCACATTAAGAAGATCTCAGCCGCAAAACGAAAACACAAAAAGACAAATTCAAAATAATCTACAGTATAATAAAATAGGCATCTAGAATGACTTCCATATGGAATAATACAGAAATTATCTTGGTTTGGAGTTCGAACTAGGCTGAGTATTTAGCTTGGTAAGCTATTATTGATTGTAAACTGTAATCTTGGTTGAGAATGTCTAGGCAGTTTTCTTTACAAAGCAGAATTTCAAACAACGAAATGACTTGAATTAACATTAAAAGATTGCTGTAAAATATTTTTTGTTGCTTTGTTATAACTGTGAACTTTTCACGTAAAAATGTTTTCGAGCTTACCATTGTAATGGCTATTAAAATTGTGTTTTTTGTGTCAATTATAACATTTCTTAAAATTTTAGATTTTGGCATTACCTAAGGTAAAACTATACAAGTCTTATCCTCTTTAAAGTTCCACTTGAACATGAAATTGTCATTAATAATCTATTGTTGAGTATAACTATACGTATGTGTCGCTCCCTTATAAAATGTATCACGTTTTCATACCAATCATATAGAGAAACAATTTTACTCAATCACCCTAAAACTCTCAAGCATATAGATTTTAAGATTAGATATAGTTAGGCTATTTTTGTTGTTGTTTGTTGAATTTTACGCAAAGCTACTCGAGGAATATCTGTACTAGTAGTCCCTAATCTTGAGATGATAGTCCAGAGAGGAGGTATCTAGTCTACGCCAACCGCCGCCTACTCGTAGGTTACTGTAATCGAACAGTAAGATTTGTCTATTACTCTTATAACGCACACACAGCACCAAATTGTAGAGCAAAATTTTTTAATAATTTCTTCAGGTAATAAGTATGTGCGAACCATTGATTCTCGGCCATGTTTGATCTGCCTGTAGACCCAAGACCGAAACCACAGTCCAGTATGCTAACCACGGAGCCGCGCTTGGCCCGCCTGTAGACCCAAAAACGAACCAGTGAACCGCGTTAGGCCCGTTTCTAGACCGAAAAACAAATGTTTTAAAGTACTTTGTGAAAGAAAGTGTTAAAGTAATAAATAAGTATATTTTAACTCTTTATGGTATATTATTCTGTTTAGTGGAACACAATGTTTTAAATAAACGCGTAAAACATAGTATTTTGTCTCCACGTGTGCATGTAGGTGAAGACAAAGATTACTTTGGCATTAAAAATAAACAGATATACTTGAGGAAAGACTTAGATCCTGAAAAGCTAATATACCAGATTACACTAGAGGACGAAACCCAAACCTACACTGACAAAATGGAAATTGTATTCGTCATTGATCGAGGACTGCCACCGAAACTGTTCTTCAAGGATGTTTTTGTTGTAGACATCTATCCCAATGCTACTACAGGAACTCAAGTCTTCAAGATAGAGGCGAATGTTAATGATGTGACTTTCAAAATCATTCGTAAGTATAAATAATTTAAAATTACTTAGGAAATGTTTTCCTTGTCTACTTTTATTTATTCAAGTTGAAGTATTATAATTGATTTTAGAAAATGTTACGTACTTAAATAACTCAGATTTCGTGCAAAAACATTATCATTAAAGTAAAAACTTCAGTTTGATCTAAGAAGTATCAGGTTAGATAATCATTAAAGTAAAAACTTCAGTTTGATCTAAGAAGTTTCAGGTTACATTATCATTAAAGTAAAAACTTTAGTTTGATCTAAGAAGTATCAGTTTACATTATCATTAAAGTAAAAACGTCAGTTTAATCTAAGAAGTATCAGGTTACTTTAACCCCACTTCAACGCTCTAGATGAGTGCATCTGTACAAGGTCTAACTCAAGTAGAAATAAATTATTTTAAACAAAAGTGCTACCAGTTTTTTAATAACACATCAACGTGTTCTAGGAATTGTTGCTTGAATTAGATGGAATATCAAATACTCAAAATTTTCGAGTGTCATGTGAGTTGAAACGTGTTTTAGTGTTTTTAAGTATATTCATTACTTCAGTACTCACTCTCTCAGTTGGTAAGGTGTTAGACATCAGATGTGTGTTCTTTAAAACCAAGCGGCTCTTATCTTTCAACTTATATGGGACGACTGATTTTGTTTTCTGAAATACAAAAACAACCCTAAAGCGGTTCAATTATTACTTTGTAGAGGATCTGGAATGTAACTCTTAATACCTCCATATATATATATATATAATCTGAAGTATATCAGTAATTCAAGTGAGTTCAATCTTTTGTTCATTCAGAAAGTATCAGAAACTATAACTTATGCACAGTTGTTCGAAAATTTACCATTCTTAAAATTGAGTAACAGTTAGATATTACTGTTAGATAAAGAGAAAAGTTATTTCATGTCTTCCCAGGTTAAATACTTGTTAGTTTATGTCGCTGTGTTACTTAATACATCCTAATTATTCTTGGTTTTGTATTAAATATAGAAGACGATAAGGATATGTTTGACATTGATGAGGACTCTGGAGAAATTACTCTTCGTAGAGATCTGGAAGAAGATGATACCAAATTCCATCTGATCATTGAAGGTGCCAAAGACTCGGTAAAAGAAAATATTGAGGTAACAGCGTATTTTTGGTATATCTAAATATAATATTTCTAACTCCCTCTTTTTAGGATTGAATTGTTATTGATTTTCCAGTAATGTTTTTACTATCAAGGTGTTCAGTGATAAACCAAATACAACATAATTAGCTAACAGCATCGTTTAAGCATTCCAGAAGTTTTGTCAAGATGAGATCCATTAAAGCCAGTTGGTTTTATGAAGCTTACGTTGTAAGGTATGTCAAGAGAGGACTAAAATGTTTTGGCGCTTTTGAAAAAAAACAATTCTTAATGATTAGTGGTTCTTAAAGTAAAGTTGTCAGAAACATCTAGTGTTATACAATTTCCATTAAATGTCCCATTGAAATAGTATGTAAAATGAAAGATTCTTCGATTTTTTATCAGTTTGTTACAGTTTATAACAAAACAGACGTGACTATTGTGTAATAAACGTTGTGCAGGCATATTGAGAAAAAAATTACCATATGCTAATTAAGAGGTTACGTTTATTTAAAGTAAATTTTTTCTTATCGCCTGATGATTATTTATTTTTAAACTGAAAAATAATATGTTGAATAACTTAGTTTTCATATATAAGTAATGAAAATAATACGTTGAATAACTTAGTTTTCATATATACGTAATGAAAATAATATGTTGAATAACTTAGTTTTCATATATACGTAATGAAAATAATATGTTGAATAACTTAGTTTTCATATATACGTAATGAAACATCGTTTTCCTCATTGGGCTTTGTGTCCATTCTGATGGTAGCAGATGTCGTCAGGGTGATTAGGGCGCTTGACTCACCATCCAAAGGTCGCGGGTTCGAATCCCCGTCACACCAAACATGCTCGCCCTTTCAGCCGTGGGGGCGTTAT